TAATTTTGATAATAAAGTTTTCTTCTGGAAGTCCAGGGACCGCAAGCCGGTAGTGGGCTTTATATGCTGACATCTGAACATGTAACTATATGTAGAGTAAATAGTTACAAATAAGTGACTAGATGAATATCAGTCAGTCAATAACTGTAAGGAGAAAGTTTCACTAGGACAAAATCTATTACAGTGGTCAGATGAACAATGGTATCTTAAAGGCATGATTCACAACACTAAGGGTTTGGAAAGCATTGCACAAGATTCACCAGCATGCCTCAAGTCCCTTGCACTGTCCTAGTGATACAAAAGAACCACAAATACGAGGTTGCTGCAAATATTACATAAATGACCTAATAAACCATGTAAACAGCTGTTCTTATCACCAGTGAATTTCACCCCTTGGGCATAAAACAGACATGAGGGCATTGAGGGACCACATACACATTGCTTTTAGGAAAGTGCTATATTCTCTCTCTACGGTACAAATCAGTAAAAAAAAAAAAACCCAGGAGTCAGGCAGAGCCTGTCACATGCTGATTCAGTGCAATGTTAGCATTACTGCACTTGCTAAGAGAGCCCTGCTGAATGGTAGAAGCCAAAAGAACAAACTTGCACCACCCCATCTGTTTGAGAGGGCTTCGAGTTGCCCCCCAGAACCAGGTGTACTACTGCCCACACTGAACTATGATATCACATTTTATTAAATTTGTTCGCTACTATGAGATTTCTTCCCCTAAAAAGTTACATTCTCAAAGATACACACGGGGGGACATATGTTAGGCTGTATGGAGACTTGTTCAAGGCTTGCCACCTTTCAGTTCATTTTTCTGAAAACATGACAAATCTGGCATAAGGCTTAAAAGCTCTTCCAGAGCAATCAAAAATTCTGAGATATCCAAAGAGAATAAGATACCCAGGGAATCCTAGGCTTGAAGAAGGTCTATCTGTGTGAGTATGGTGTGTGCAGGGAGTCAAGCAGGGCAGCAGTCGGATCACTGGAGCCGCCCACTGGTAAGTGGCTTCGATTGCAGCTCAGCTGGGTTTCAGAACAGCTACTCCTCTGCAAGGAGGAACCAAGATTCATTATCTCCTTGCAAATAAAAAGACATTTCCTCAGACTTCTAATTTAGTGCAAATTCGCAGACAAGTAGGAGCAGCATAAGCATATAAGCATATGAGAGGCATCAGATGAATAAGTTCATCTTCTGAGAGACTTTTTTTTAAATGAAAATAAATTATCATGACTTTTTATCTATTAAGTCCAAAAATACTCAATTACTTTATTTATCTACCTGGAGTGTTTTCTGGTTTCATAACAAGTTCCTTCTGGCATGTAAGCATTCATGATTAGTTATATTTTTAAATAAAAACTTTTTAAACTTTTGTTTCCCCAAGGATTTAAAATTAATATAAAATGTATTGGTTTGTATTTTGAGAAATATTAAACTATGCTTAGATTCAAAAGAACTCTTAATTTAGTTAGGATATTTTATTGTATTATCCATACAAAAAAACTTAGTAATCAAAAAGTCACAGAAACATAAATTTTGAAAAAGTTTTTAGTTTTAGGGTAGAAATTGTGTCACAGCAGGCTCTTGTCTACAAAAGAGTGCTTGTAATGGGCTATCAGTATATTTCTTTCTCAAAAGGATCCAACACTTGAAGCCTTAAACAAGGGCTGTGATACAATGGTCACCAAATCAATTCATGCTCCCTATAACAGAAATAGCAAACAGGAAGTGATGTTGAACTGATGCCTGCCTGCCATATGTGCCAGCACACATTGTGTGTTTGCACAGGTTTGTTTTCCAAGGGCTAGCAATGAGTAGGAGGATCAGGATCAGTCTTTATCAGTTTTTAGACTCATAATCTTGACAACATCCTTTTGGAGATTGATATACCTCTCTTCTCATACGTAGCTACTGCAGCACAAATTGATCTGGTACTGTGAGCTGACTCATGTGTGCATGTGCTTGAGTGAGACACCCATCACCTCGTATCAGGGCCCTCAGCAAAACAAGAAAGAAAAAGCAGCCTTATTGAGGTTTTTTTACAGAAGATAGGATAAACGGAATGTAAGGATGTGCACAGCCAGGAATTATGCAGGAGAACTCATAAGTCTCTATGCAGAAAAAAGTGAGCTTTGTGTTGTTTTAAACACTGAGTGTTTACCTTTTTTAGCTCTTGGACTTTCTGTTCAGAATGACGAAACTTCAGCAATCAGCCTAGATAATGGAAGCAGAAGTGTCTTCAAATCTGACTTCTCAAGAAAAAGAAGGATGGATTTGGCACCCACAACACACTGAAAAGATGTAATCTGAAATCCTAGTTTGTAGCCCTGATGTGTTGCTCAACTGGACCTCAGAGCCTGGTTCCCCATGCCATGCCTCAGCCTCTGGTTTTCTTTCTGCTGACTCAGGAGTTCTCATTTGTGCCATATCCCTGAAATAAGTGCAACAAGCCTAGAGATAGCCTGTCAGAGTCGTCTGTTTATATTCTTCCTGAAGTCTGCCTGGAGAGCGGAATGCTCATTAAACCATTTTTCACACACTGATTATATTTTTCTTCTTTTTCTTTTCTTTTACAATTGCCTTCTGAAAAAGAGATGGGTTTGAGAGTTAGTGCAACTAGTGCATAATATGAGCAAGTCTATCGGAAAGTAAAGATTTTTTTAAAATGCAGATTATTGATTTTTGAAATTGTAGGGGTTTCTTCAAAGTCATTGGGGTTTGTCTCGTCAATATGTTAGTAAAGATTTCTAAAAATGAAGATTAATGATGCTAGGGATAATTAGTGCTGAAGAAACTCACACATTTCTCAGTATTCAAAGGATATTGGTGAACACAGTCAAGTTCTCCTTGAATGTACCTTAGCTCTGTTTCTGCCATGAGAGTAGGGGGGAATATTTTCTATGACATGACAGGAAGTTAAACTCCCAGTATCTTTGGAAATCAATGGTATTTGAGCTACATAGCTCTGATTTGTGTTTTTTAAAAAATACCCCATATACAGTGAGTGCAGCTGATTTACTAAATCCACAAGCCAAAATATTTGGCTCAAAAAATCTGAATATTTTCTCTTTCCAAAAGAAACCAAACATGTTCAATAGCTGCTTTTCCAAATTAAACACTCAAGTCATACTTCTTACTATTATTTTTCCCTTCAAGATTTATTCATATATTTTGTTATAGGCATGAAAAATTACAAATTAAAGAAAAAGAAGCTTTTTGTTAACTTGCAGGAATGTAAGAAGTCCCTACAGCTAATAATCTGATTTTGCAGGGGCGCTCAAGCACGTATTTATTTTTTTATCCAAAAAGATTAAGTTAAATATTTCTTAAGTTATTTCTGTTCTAAGGCTGAGGCTTAAATGCTAAATACTGTCCAGATAATTAATAGTGTAGTTCTGCTGGGGTTTCCCTTGCACAGAAAAGCTAACTTTGGTGGTGGATCATTTTCTTCTCAATTATGAAGCACTAATTCCTCAAATAGTCCTTAGGATCATAATTTGTTTCTGTGAAATACTTGGTGATAGGTTTTACTCATCAGATTTTCAAAAAGAGTCACAAGCATACTTTGGAAAAGTTTGAATTCAATTGAAGCAAACACAGCTTGACCAGTCCTTGTGTATGAAACCAAAACGGTCTGTATACGGGCTTTTTGATTTTTAAAGAAAGATAATCAAAGACAAAGAATTCTAAATCCAGGCTAGGATATCTTGGCTCTTTTCCAATAGGCAACTAAACCGGGAAGCCACAGCACAAATCCATATTCCAGTTTGGAGGGGGAACAAAGGCTGAGCAAAGAGTGTCAGCACAGTTGTTATCTGGCATGATGTCCATCTTTGGTGGCCTGCAGGACCACATCAGAATCTGTTTTGTCTGCAGCCAAATTACAACTTGCGCAAGACTTTGCAGACAGTGTCTCTGCAACCTGAAGTCCTTAATCATTGAGGTATTTTGAAGAAAGATGTCCTCACACAACAGAAAATACCTGCTATATAAAAATACCCCTGCCCATGAAATCCTATAATCAGAGTGAACACTATAAAATGTACACAAACACACAGAATAAACTGACTGGTGTTTTTGGAATCCTTTTCCTGAATTTAACTCCTTAGGTCTTGGTACTGTTCATGTTCCATTTTTACTTTATCCAAGTTGTTAAGAGTTTATTCTGATCTTGTATAAGCGGATGAACAGACAGTATATGATGATGAAAAATGGAGTTCAAAATCATATTATACTGCAGATTACATTTCAAGTTATATCAGCCTGTAAGAAGACATTAGTATGTGAATCCAGAGAGCTCACTCCTTGCATAGGATTTACAGAAATACACACACACAAAAAGAGACCTTTTTACGAGCTTCTATAAACCATCACAGCTTATGCTGGTGTGTATACATATTAAGGGTTGGAATGACCAAGAGGAAAGAAATCTCACACTGTCACAAGCTACCACAGTTCCTGGTCCAGTGTTAGGAGTGAAGCATAGAAGTCAGACAACACTGCAAAGCAGCGGTCTTTTCTTGGTGATGAAACCATCCCATTCAGCACACATTATCCATGAAGTTAGCCTTGACAGATAACTGCAAACAGTCGCATCATAAATGTTACTAAAACTTGTTTCTTTCTAGGGTCCATTCCAGGAATTCATTTGCAGCATACCTATCTGCTAACTATTTTTATGAGATAAGCAGTATTCATTATTTGATTTTTTACTTTACCACCCTTTTTTTAGCATATTTTCAACTCTACTATCATTACAATAAAATGACGTAAAGTCAGAGAATGCTGAAAATGGCACTGAAGTACTTAAATTCTCAATAAATTAATAAAAGTCTATCTACTGAAAACTCTCATTCTTTGGTACTGATTAGTGAACCAATATCAGAAGACACAAATACATGTAAGTGAAAAAGGTCACATAGACTAGACACTTTTGAATTTGTTGATAGAGTCCACAGATACAAGAGTATAATAGAACAGAAAAGAATTTCTTACCTTTATGATGATTTGCCCCAGATGCTAATTTCCCCCACAGCGTTACAACAAATATTATTATTAGCAGTTTTCCTTTTGTTGCTTTCTGTAAGTATCTCTTATTCATCCTGAAAACAAACATACACAAAAATAAATATTATCTTAAGACTTTTTTAAAAGACAATTTTGGTTTAATTCAGGGAGAATTGACTAAGTTTTTATGAGTGTCTGGCTGACAACCCTCAAGTCTTAAATTCTGTTTAGCTTTAAATGAGGTGTACCAAATAGAGCAGCAGACCTCTCTCACTGGTCTGTCAGCATTCCTTCACCCTAGTCAGTACTGGGCGAATTCAACATCGTCATCATTTCTCTCAAGGCACAAGCATTGTTCATAACCACAGCAGACTCCAAGGTTGGTGGTAAGGATGAATCCATGCAGCTACGAGCAGGTTTTGATAAACAGAACAGTTTCACTACTGTGTCTGGGGCCGGTCATGGTCAATGTGGTTCTTTCTGACCATACTGTGTTCTTTTTAACTTTTGGGATTGCAGCTCTTTTTGAATTGTGCACACAAGTAACAAGGCACTAACAGATTTGAACAGTCTAGCACATGTACCAATCCTCCCACAGAGAAATCCTGTTAGGAAGACATGAATGGTTTGAAAACATGAACTCAAGAAGGGCAGATTCACCAGTCTCTCTCCTGTCTACCTTTGGGTAATGAAAAGGTTTGATTTACTGCACTAAGAGAAACTTCACACACCTCCCCTCATCTCGCTCAATGATGTTTTCACTGTGACAGCAAGCAACCATGGTGGTTCAAGCACAAGATAACACATGACTTTACTATCTTTCAGTAACTTCCTCCAAAGTCAAAATGCCCTCCTACCTGCCAAAAAGACAAGTTCAGGGATGTAGGCTCCAGTTGTGCAGAGAGTGGGAAGAGGTATAATAATGAATCCCTCTCACTTCATTCTCTGTAGAAGAACCCTAGGGAGCTGGTTAAGAAACAGCTCCGCACGATGATCATGTTTCTGCTGATAGGTCAATAGGACAATGATGTCTATTTCAAACCACTTATACTAGAAAAGCTGAAAATTTGATCACTTGAACAAAATTGTTGCTGTGGAACTGGGTTGCCTTTCTGAGCAGAAAAAATGCATTGCTTCAGTATGTTGCACATTTGTTTCCTATTACATTCATAAGAAACGTAAAGAAATTCAAGCACATCTGTTTTGCTCTCTTCATTTACAATGCCATCTTGGGCAATCATAACTCCATGAAATGCAGACTGCTCTAATACAGAATTAACAAGTAGTGTGTTCAAAGTCCCAAATCATTTTCCATTCCTCAAAACAATTCCTTTCCTCTGAACAAATTTCTTTCTAATAGAACACCATGTGCTTATAAGGCAGCACACATGCCAAAACTCCAGTCATGATTTCCAGACTTGAAACCAGACCACTTCACCCAAATCTGCCAATCTTGCTCTCCAGGAGATTGATGAGATCTTGTTAAGCACCTCTAAGTTTCCACATCAGGCTCTGTGTAAGAAAACACAATTACTCAAATTAAGAACCCACTGAAAAGTGCACCAAACTCTTTTAAACCTGAATTCAAAGCAACAAAGAACTCAGCATTCTTTGACAGAAGTAACACATCTAGAGTGTGTTTTCCAGAGGTTCAGATAGCAAAAGGAGAGAGGAGTAAGCAAGTATTGCAGCTAGGATGGTGCACGTGCCTCTGAAAGCCTGACTGATTAATAATCACAGGGGAAGTCATAGTGTGCTGTGAACCACACCAAGCTCTGCCTTCTTGCACTGATTCCAGTGACTTTGGAGTGTAAACTGCATATTCATCATCAGCTCCAGGTTTATGAAACACTCAAAGCTAAAGGGAAATACATTATTTGCCACTGTAAATAAGAACCAAAAAAATGAAATTGGAATGCATATTCAGCATATGCTCTTTCACAGCTATCTCTGTGAAAAGAATATGAATTAACTCTTTCACTCTGGATTCTCATACTGCACCTGTTATGCTACTGGTTCCAAGTCATCTCTCATTAAAATCAAATCTTTCTTCCTCACCTACACGGCACTGCTCAAAATCCAGTGGGATTTGCACCATTAAAGCAAGGTTGACTCTAACACTGTTTCTTCCTCTATTCTGCTGATGCCAGATTCACTCACTGTGCTGCGTGACTGGCAGCAAATGCGCATCAGAAAATACAAATGTAGAAGGAAAAACAGGACCAGCAACGGAAAGAAAGAAAACCAGCCTATCTGCCTGTGAACAGCAGCCCCTCTGGAAGGATGGCAGAGAAAAGATACAAAGCTCTGCACGCAGCCCAGCACACCCAAGAGGAGTAAGCCAGGTCTGAGTGAGAAAAGAATGTTTTCTGCAAAGTAAGGGAAGGGTTGCAGCTTTAATATTGAAAATCTGGACTCAGTGCCATTGCTAGGTTTTCCAATCATGAGAAAAACGATACACCATTTTTGTACCACAAGCCTATTACATTATTCTGCACTAGTTTTCTGTGGTATTCATCTTTAGAAGGACAAAAATCTAACCTTTTTCTAATAGTAGTCCCATAATAGGCATAATTAACAAAAAAGTCAGTGCAAGTAGCAGTTCTAGCTTGAGACTAATGGTTCAGAGGCCACCAGCAGAAGTACCAAAAAAAATCTGAGCAGATAAAGCATTCATAACATACAGCAGCTAAAATAGAAAAAGCTGGAAGATTATGTTAAGCTTCAAACTAATTATGCTGCATAATCCTAGACCTAGACCTGTAGTTGTGTGCATTGTCTGCTCACAGTGGTCAATCCAAGGACAGACAAGAGGCTGCATAAGCACAAACAAGGTATGAAGCACCCTGTTCTCAGCAGTCCTGCTACACACAGGGGCCTGTAGCAATACAGGCCTAGAAATAAAAAATGAAGGATTTGTACTACAAGAAGCTGAGTGGTTGGGATGCACGCACTTCATCAGCAAAGCAGGCCAATAGCTAGTAGTGAAGGAGAGGCCATAAGATATGCTCAGTATCTGAGTGCATGCATTATCACCTGGGCTCAGAAAGTCTGATGCTGGTTATTTTTTGTGCATTTGCAAAACAGCCCATAATATAGCACTGAGAAGACACTGAAACTAGATATCATTTGACCTCAGCTCTGAAACATAACTATTGGCCTCTTGCAACCCTGATCCATGTCAAGCAAGTGCATCCAGGAAATAAAATTGAGTCCATTACAGTACTGTTATTACGCTAACATAACTGGCTGTGTTAGAATAAATGAGCTCTAAAATGAGGTCCACTTTTGCTAGAGGCGATGCAGAACTCCACAGACAAACTGTAGCTATTAACCTGAAAGGTTTTCACTTTGAGACATTTTTGTCTTCTGTTTACCTTTCTTTCTGCAGAACCTCTCCCTCACTATGATCCATGCAGCCTTCAATAATGCCACATAAGCCAAAGCTGATCCAAATGGAGAATAACCATGCTATAGAAAAGCCTACATTTAAAAATCCATTTTACACAAAAATACAAGCTTTATGCATAAAAAAAATTTCTTTCAGTTTCAAACCCCAGCATATTGGAAATAAACTCAAGGAATTCTCAGCACTTTCACACAGAAGAGGACATGAAATGTTGCCGTGTTTGAGTTCAATTCTCAATGTGCTTTGAGGCAAGGAAAAAAGAAAGATAGTTCTTTTCTGGTTCAGGGGCTCATTCAAAATATAACAAAAAGATGTCACCCGCATAATTCAAACAGGCAGTGGCTGAGTGTGAGATGGCTCTGCTGTGCCCAGCTCTTTGCTAACACCATAACACATGGAATAAATTCATAGGATTTGTTGCTTTTCCTCCCTAAAATTCCATTTCCCTGAAGCACACTTCATGAGACCATCACCAATCTGGTATCATGTACTCAAGAATAGACCGTTTTGGTAATTAGTGACAAAAAACTGCAGGAGTTTTTTTCTCAGGGTGAAACCACATGTGATCCTGCAGAGAAGGTCCACGAGTTGCCATGTCAGCAGAAATCCTTCGCCTCAGCCTCTGTGGCTCAAGAGCAGCAAACTGTGAATATACTCCTAGGTTGCACAGGCTCTCCTCATGACTGCTCCACCTCACTGTCAGCTCCCTCTCAACAGCAGATGTGGTCCAACCATTTGGCTGTACTGAAAATGCCATGCACAGATATGTATTTTCAATGTAGCATCCATAAGCTTTTGTAGCTTATGGTTGTAGCATCCATCCTTCTTTGCTTCTGGGCTTGAGATCAGCCACCTTCCCAACAGCTCAGACTTAGAGGAGAATCGCATGAGAACTACCTTATATTGTATGGCCAGTGCTAAATTGCCTTGCTTTCTGATTTTAGGTGAAGCGCAAACACATATAATCTTTATTGTCAAGGAGAAAAAAACCGTAAGGAAATAATAGCTTTCATTCTTCCTTTAAAAGCTTATATACAAATAAAATTCTCATCTGTTCCTAGGAGTAACTGCATTTTTCTCTGTTGCTCCTTATCTTTCTTTTCTTTACAAACATCAGCTTCTGTGAAGCTGTTCAAAATTCATTCATTCCTGCTTTACATATTTGGAAACTTTCACTGTCAGTAAGATCCATTTTCCTTTTGCAAACACATACACCATGTGAATGCAAGTGTTCATAAAGAGGCGCAGAAGTCCATTTCTCTACTGGATCATGACAAAATGCTTGAGACAAAAACCTGATAGAAAATTAGTCCCACATCCTCTTACTTTTCTTTTTATGACAAATATTTTATTTGCTACTTCAGAGAAAGCCTAAATGAGTAGTAGAAATCACTTGAGACCCCAAGTCTCTTGTACAGAAATAAAGCAGCCAGTTAAATTATATTCTGTACTGTGTTGAATCTTACATTAGTTATTAGTTGTGTTAGTTTCTACATCCCACACAACGCAGGTATTTGCAGTTTTATTTAGCCTTTCCTGTGTAGGTTAGTGCAGATTTAAAAATGCCCCTCTGGTGAATAAGGTCACTTTGCAAAAGTAACACCGATGTGACCCCTGTGCATTTGCATATATATAAATTCCCTCTGTGACATTCCTGTCATGTTTGCTCAGTGAACAAGTAATTTG